TGGTAATTTGCTTCCAGGGAGAAAAAAAATCGCTAATTTTTTTAATAATATCAAACATATAGCATCTGTTTTTTTTTTTTGCTCTTTACCTTTTGTTTAATAAATAAGCTTTACAAATAAGTCAAATTTGTTTTGCTTCTAACTCTTTCCTTTGCCTGATTTTGCATTATCCTTAATTTATGGAGATGAGTGTATTTCATAATGGCATACAGGTAAGTTTAACTCATTCATTAATAAATCCCTAATTGAGCCCATGTTAATATATTGTTCACCAAATTGGTCTATGATCAAGCAGAAAAGTCACTAAACATGGTAGTTCGACCGAAGTTCCTAGTCCCAGTGATCCCCCAGCTCTTTCTTTCTTTCTTTCTTTTTTTTTTTTTTTTTTTTTTTTTTTTTTTTTTGTACTTACTTACTGTGTAAAAATGTAGTGTAAAAATTTCAGTTCATGAAGTAAAAATACTTTTTTAATTCATTCTTTAAAAATATTGCAAAAATTTTCATCTTTACCTGAGCATATCTTTATACAAATCCCTCTAATTAGAAAAAATAAGGAAAGAAATTAACTTGGTTTCAGTGATTGATACCTCAGTGCAAATTATATGCAACATTTTCCCAAAAGTATAGAGTTTATATGGATATCAATAAATTAAGGATTATTTCTCCGTCTAACTTTCTTAACATGTTTATTCCAGAATTTTCTTTTCACACTCTAGCGATTAACTTTAAGAGTTTTCTATAATTATTCAATTTCTCTAGCCATAGCAACTTTGCATACCTTCTGACAAGTAGTTATATTTTTAACCACTGTATTTTAATTCCTGTTGACTATCAGTACATTATTCACTTGTTTCACAAGTGGAACTTTTATTTTATACTCAAATCTACGTAAAATAGCATTAAAACTTCAGTTATGTGGAGCTCCTGATCGATTGCTTGTTTTAGATTGAATGAAATTAAGCTTAATGTTACTGTTAATTAGCTTGTTATTAATTTAATTATACATGTTTCTAATTAATTATATGTTCAGATATTTCCAAGTATATTACACAAACGTTTTGCATCCCAATTTTTAATTTTGGTTAAAAAAAAAGAAGCTTTTATTTATTAAGAGGCCTGATTGATTATATTAATTTGCAGTATTGTTTATCTAATTCCTTTCTTCTAGAAAATTTTAGAAAAAACTTCTTAGCATAATGAATTTAATTTATTTACAATTTATACATCAGTGTTCCTAATGCATAGTAATGTTGTTATATTAGATTTCATGCTAAGCTTTTTTAAAATTTAACTAAATTTAATTTTTGCAAACATTTACATGATTACTTTAATTAACAAAAGATATTTTTAGCACACTTTAACACACTTTGATATGGAATAATTTTTTGCACGCAAGTGAACTCTATTAAATTTTCCAGTCTAGTTCAGACATCTTGACTATTATTGATGTAATTTATTAAAAATATAATTTGTATGCTTTATAATTATTTAATTTGATATTATTATAATAAATGAAAAATGTTTGTAATGCTAATATGTATGTTTACCAATACCTTTTATTTTCTTTGTTAGGTCCCACATTTATTACTGTTATTCAAATAATTAGCCTGCTTGTTAGATAGTTTTTACTTGTTCTTGTGATATGTAATTCTATTTATTTATTTTTATTTTCCTCTTGGCTACAATTGGCTTCGAAAAGTTAAATTGTAACCGTGTAGGCAGCAGGGAGAAGAAATTTTGATTGGCGCAGTTGGACATAGCTCGACCCGGGGGGATTTTCATTAGCACAGTTGGAGTACACCCCTAATTTTGTTTTTACTAAGAGCTGTTTCGTAACTTATGCTTTATAGCTATATACCTTGTTTATTTTTCAGATTTAAAATATTGTATAATAAGTTGCCAAAATGAAACTTTATAATATGACAGCGAAAAATAAAAATGTTTTATTTTAATGTTATTTTTTAAATATAGTTCTAATATATTATACCATTATTTTAATGAAATTTATCAATGTTATGATGTTTTAAAAAAATCGCTGAAAACTTCTCAGATCTAGAAATTAAAAATTTTCTATAGAAACTGATCTTAAAATCGCCAAAATGTTGACAAGTTGTCAAATTAGAACCATTTAATAAAAGAATTCACAACCCCAAAAGCGAAAGTTGTTTAAGAGCACTTTATTAGAAAAAGTGAATTTCGAAATGCTTATGTTTCACTTCTTGCTTAGAAACTCGAGTATCCCATCATTTTATGTTAGAAATAGAAACAAATTATAACCCATGAACCCATTCAAAAGATAACCATATACGTCAGTGAATTGCCAAAAATATTCCTCCAAAATGCTAATTCACTCTCAAAATGGCAGTTGTAAAAACAGAGAGAAATTTCAGATGATTAAAACTAAGGATCTTCTACTGATTTTGGCCAAAATTAAGGACTTTTAAGGACCAAAAATCAATTAAAAAAATTTAAGGACTCTTAAGGACCGTACAAACCCTGCAAATGTCATGAAGGAGCGAGCACAAGCATCACTGATATATAGTAGCTAGTATAAATAGCTGAAAATCACTCATACACTTACAACCACTGCTCTGCAGATACATGTGAATGCTCAGAGAATTGATTCTGAATATTTCCATAATTCTTCAGTTGCATAATTAGTACATTCGGTTCAATACTCTTCGTAAAATTTGGCATAATTTGCAAATTCTCTTAATTTTGCACGTGAGTGCATAACATAAATGGAAAGAGCCCTACAAAAAGTTCTACACACAGGCAAATCCTATTAATTAGCCTTTTTCATAATAAATTATGTAATTTATTAAAAAATGTTCAACACAAAGAAATTTTTTAAAAATCACTATTACCATTTAAATAAAGCAAGTCTTTATCATCTAAATATAGGGAATATGTAAGTATAAGAAGCACAAATATACAGATGATTAAAACTAATAAGGCATTAAAGAATTTTATCATCCTCATCTCCACAATGGCTTGGTCCTTTGCTAATTATGCATTTGCCAGGAATGGTTGAACCCATTCAATATTGTGAATATTACCCAAGGTTGATCAAATTACACCAGCAGACAGTTTCATAGTGGTTCACTTCAGAAGATAGAACCAAAAGCCTCCTACCTTTCTCTCTTTACTAGCAATCTCTCAACAGAACTTTTTGTTCAATAGTATTTTATGTGTCTCCATGGCACAAAGACACTTACAAACATGCATCTCTTCTTCATGATTTGAAACTGGACCTATGACTATGGCAACCAGCTCTATTAACATCGTACTAACAGGATCGCTATTGCTATCACAGACTTTTGGTTTTTATGTATACATTACAGTGCAAGTAAGATAGGTAGAGAGAAATTTTATATGCATAGATACATAATAAATGCAAATAAAAACATCTTTCATCAATTACATTAGTGATATAAATGCCAAAAAGTACCAGCCATTGCTTAAGAACAGCAAATACCTACAGAGACTATCAAGATATTAATTATTTAGCCTTGATTTTACGTATTTTGGTATACTGCGGAATATTTTCATCAGAACCAATACTTCAATGTTACTCGGCATATCAATATTTCCATATTAATTAGCATACATTCAAACCTGCGTATCTGATGGGTTTTTACATAAGATTTAATTCAGATATATCAAAGGAACTTCCAAAAAGAAATTTTATTTAATAATAATTCAAAATAAAAATGCTAAAGTTAAGTTAATAATTAATGGGCTCTCTTTTTTCATAATAAGATCTTAAATGAGTTTCTCCACTGAATCTCCCAGACTCTGTATAGAGACAAAGAAGGAATACAATAAATTATAACTCAGATTTATAACTCCAACAATGACTCTGATGATCTATTAGCAATTATCTTTTATAATATTCTTTTAGTTAAAAATGGAACCAGTTATTATTAAACAATGATAATGAATTAAGAAATATAGGTAATAAAATATTATGGCATAGATTTTCAAAACAAATTACTACAGTACATTTTTCCTTCAATACAAACTAACAAATTGATTTAAATACTGATTTAATATTGAACCAGTTGATTTAAAAGCTTGGAAACTTTATTATACAGTCAAAAGTCGTTAATTCGGACACCCATAATCCGGACCTCAAAGCTACAAACTTTCTGCGCAGGCCCGAAATACGTTTACGCATGCGCGTTTAATGTATAACGGATGGTATAAGCTAAGCTAAAATTATCTAATTCAGTTAATGTTGCAGATTGAGTTGTTCCTTAATCTTCGAATTGGATCCGGCTTATTATTTTTTGCAGACTGTTAGAGCAATTTTATAAAAGTAAGCTTAAACTTTCGATTATGTCAAATAGAATTTCCGATATATATTTACTAATCCGATGTGGAGTTACCAAAGGATCTACAAAGCGAAAGTATGTTTCAAAGTCCATTAAACAAAAAGAGGAATTGCTGCATAAAATGGATAAAGGCATATCCTTTGTTTATCTAACCATTCCGAAATTTGTTTATCAATTTCACACTGCTCTGCGTCGTTGGGACGCCACAGTGGGCAATGAATTGGAAGTTGATCTGTCAGCACTATCCTTATCTTCAGGGCAGAAATTATGGTTTCATATTTTTAATTTTATAATTTCTGCATGCCATCTTACCAGATTTAAATTGATGATCTATAATCTGGAAAAATCGATAATCCGGAATCGCCGAAGTCCCAACGAGTCCGGATTAATGACTTTTGACTGTACACAGTATAGTATTCCTTAAATACAGAGACACTGGATAAAGCGATTTAAAAACTTGAATACCTCATTATATATATATATATATATATATATATATATAAAACACTAGTGACAGCATTTACTTTCAACTCAATCAATTCAGAAACAAGAAAATGCCGAGAATTCTCTTTACTCTCCGTTAGTTAATACAAAATTAGAATTTAAAAGGCAGCATTGAAAGTAAATTAAACAATACTGGCTTAAATAAGTGAAGTAACTTACAATAACCACAGGGTTGTCTTCTCTTTTCAGTCTAGGATTTGCATTACTTGAATTAGAATATCTGTAACGATATATAGCTCTTTGATGGACATTAACCCAAAATACTACAATTTCTGTATCTGTATACAAAACATCTACAGAATCGATTCGATTTTTATTAATTTCAGGACTAAGAACATCATTTGAATCTTCAGCTGAAGGTTTGTATGGATTTACTTGTCTAAGCTCATTTTCACTTGCTAAATATATCACAGCTTCTTTACCTAAAAACACAAATTATTTTCATATATATCAAGACTAGTAAAATATATGAATAAAACAATATTTATCAAACTTACTAGAAATAAAATTAAATCTTTATAATTATTTGTCAAATTGTCTTTTCTGACTGTTGGGACCTACACTCAAGAGCCAAAACATTATGACCAGCCCTACATTTTGCGATGAACGTGCCTGGATGATGTGGAAGGCACGTGAACATTTAGAACAATTTTAGAAGCTAGCAATTTTTATCACGTGATATTGAATAACAGTACTTTATATACTAAACTCGTGTTACTTTAATAGCAACAAACAATGAAAATATAGTACTTCATATACCTTATTTTTATGGTTGTGTTGTTAGTTATAATTTATTTTCCCAAATCTTAAAGCATATATAATCACAATATGTAAAACACTCTTCAATTGGTGAAATTCATACAAAAATGAATTATAATATCATCAAAAATATCACATATGCAAATGCTAATATGCTAATATATATATATCACATATGCTAATATTTTCAGACAGTTTAAATTATTTAAAATGTTGCACTTGCCAGTTGTGTGTATTTAATTAACACTTCTAGGAATGCAGCAGCAAGTGCTTGCATTCCAATGGATATTACTTCAGAAATAACTGTTATAATTTTTTACATCTCAAACAAAAAGGCAGTACTATTTTCAATGAATATTATGAGGACAGGAATAAATTATTGATAAATAATTAATAAATAAATTATGCCTGAAACATTAATTTTCACAAAGAATACTCAGTGTTTAAGAGACAATGACATGATTCTCCCTTTATCACAAATTAAGTTATTTTATTTAAGATCTCTGACCTCTTGCAGAAATGTTATTGTGACAGAGGTTTTCAAGTATTTAATTGAGGACATGAAGCTTGTACATATATTAATAAGGAACTAAATCTCTAAAAGACAGTACAATTATTAAAAATGATAATACATATGTAAGTACAACTGAACTTTGGTATGACAAAGCTCAAGGCAGAAGACGAATTTGTAAGTAACTGAAAACTTAAATTTCTTAAGAAAAGACAACTTTAAAACTTTTAACATTATATTTTGAGTTTCATTTCAATATACTGAAATCTGAGTAATCAAGTTCCATTGCCGTTTTCTTTTTTTCATTGTATCTCAGGTTTTCTATTAAATACTAAAATTTTCTTCCCCTCTCCTTCCAAATTTGGACCGTGAATTTTCCTTTTTTTAATTAATGTTTTTAATTAGATTCACTTTCATAAAACTAAAACTCAATTTAAATACTTTAAATTCAGTCACAGCAGTTTTTATTGCAATGAAATAATGATGCATTCACTTAAAGGCGGCTTTTATCTAACAGATCTGCTGTGGAGGAGTGATGACAATAGTGATAATTATAAAAAAATGGGTGCTAAAAATTTTGATTCACATATGCATCCTGTTTCTTTTAAAATAGTAGAAGTTTCTGCACAATATAAGTTGACGTAAACTGAGATGTACAATATAACATTTAGATCCTGCCAATAACATCCCTCCCCAATATTTATTACTGGAATGAAATCAAACAAACCTGTTTTTAATAGTACTTTCTTCAGCAACTATATTTGTTTTCAAAATGAAAATACCAAGCAAATAATCACCAGTAAAAAGTATCATAAAACTGAAATTTTATGGCATTCATGCCAATGTCAAAATTTTGTTATTCAACTCATTGCTAGAGTGAACCATTGTCAGAATCATCCACAGACATTCAACATTGCATCTATCCACAGACATTCAACATTGCATCTCAAATTTGAAACTGGAATAATCATGTAAAAGCTGAATGCATTTAACATTACTAACTGGTTAATTGATTTTTCTACCATAGGTACAATAATTTAAAATTTATTTTTCAGAATAACAGTAAAAATGTATCAGAATTAGCATTTGCAAGGCAATGTTAGAGATTAACAATTCATTTGGAAGCAATACATCACTTCTAAAAGAAGCTAATCACTATCTAAAACTAAGAAAACAGGTTCGGCAGTACATCATTTACTGAATTATTAGTGCATCTTATTAATACATACAATTGATGATACAAAGTAAACAAAATGGAAAAAAAAATGTTATTAATTAACTATTTTCTATGCTAGTGAAAGACACAAGAAAATCTTATCAAAACAGCCAATATTGCAGAAAACAGCATAACAGGCCATTATTAACATTTAAATGAACTGGCTCCTAATGAGAGAGAGAGAGAAGGGGGATTATGCATCACAAAATATATCTTTTAGATTTGTAAACAATTTGAAATACGTTAACATATCACTTTAATAACTTTTTTAAACATAATGAAAATTTAATTTTAATAAATCATTTCTGGCAAAGTGGTAGATAACTTAAATTAACAGCAACATTTTTAAATCTATTTTGCCATGATAACAGTAAAAATTCATCAGAATAATACACAAAAATGAATCTTTCTGAATAAGAAAGCAGTTTGTGAGGGGGAGAAGCAGTACTATTTTAAAATTGGAAAGTCAAAGAATATAATAGTAGAAGTTGATGTATTTGCCTGACTACAAAATACTTGATTTTTTTAAATTCCATATTTAAAAGTACTTGAGCAACCTGCCTTATAGAAAAGTTTATCAAATGCTTCTCAACACAGGCATGAAAGTGCAAGTTGGCAAAAAAAGCTGAACAACGCGCGGACACAAAATTACACAAAAACTAAATGCGCACGTGCGACCTAAAAAAACACACATTTTAATAAAATATCAAACTTTTAATATAAAAAGTATTAAACATATACATATAATTAAACTAAAATAATACTTGTACTTACTATTTTGCTATTAATTTTATCTTCCACTTGTAAAAAAAAAAAATCAGTAAAACACCAAGAGATTGTAATGAATTAACCTTCTTTAAGATGCTCTTTATGTAACTTATTTTAACAGTTGATACATGAATACTGTACACAACATTACAACACACTAATATACATACTTATGTTATATATTACTGCCCATTTCCAGGCAATGTCAAGTTTTAGAGATAATATATATATATATATATATAACAGTTACTATAGCTTTCAATTATCTTCACTTAAATATTACTTCACATTTCCAGGCAATGACAAGTTTTAGAGATAAAATATATATACATATATTTAAGTGTTACTATAGCTTTCAATTATCTTCACTTTAGCTCAATAAACAGTATATAACACCAGAAAAAGTAATCATGTGATAGTGTCAGTCAGTGTAAGTGTGAGTCATTTATAGTTATAAAATAACATATAGTTAAAGGAGGAATATAAATAACTATTTTGTCTGTCTCACTTGATCACGATTAAAAATTTTTAGGAAAAAAGCTTTTTCTTTTTTGCTACTTTTGCAGCCAACTTTTCTAATTTCCGTTTGCGAGCTAGTCTCAATTTCTTTTCAGCAGCTTTTATACAATCCATTGATACTTTTTTTATTTTCTTCTTTATTTTCTGCAATGTTTAATTACTTTTCTTTTTTTTTTTTTAAATTCTCGCTCCTCCTTTTTTATCTCTAGCTTTTCTTTGTACAAATTATGAGCATTCCTTAAACTTTTACATAGAGTTTTGTGTACTGGAGAATACTGGAGAAGTGGTTATCTGTATGTCCGACAGATGGCGCCAGCACCGATCACTGAAATTATTGAAGTCAACTCTCGTTTGACGGTTGCTTGCTTTTCTTTGATTCGATATTCGTACATGTCTAGTTCCGCCTTTCCACATAAACCCCACCTAATTCACCTTGATGTAAGACAATGTATTTCGCGATCTCTGGCATGGTGTAAAGTTTTTTTACAAAGAAAAGAGGAAGAGGGAGAGCGTGTTCTCCGTTTACCCCCCCCACACACATTTGCCGGTCGCGATTTCTCAACGGTTCTGCGAAAACGCGGAAAACTTTCATGCCTGTCAACAGAGAATAAGAAAATTAAATTACTGATGTACAATGTATTCAAATTTACTAAAGTGTTTCATTTCTGATCAACACAACATTTTTATCTGCCATTAAGGATTTTTCTTCATAAAACAGTATTACCTTCTGCATGACATGATCCTTTTTCACCTGGAACAGGATGATAACCAGCCACACAGTCACAGGCATAACTATCTTTCTTTTTTTCAGTACATAGTTGTGAACAGGCTCCAAAGCTACAAGGTCCATATTCTGAAAAGTAAAATAAACAGCTGTTTAGATTTGAAACATACACAGGGTTGAGTTACATTAATGTGACCATCTCTTATGTTCAATGCCAGTGCTAAATAGCCAGTGACACAAAGGCAGCAGATTTGGAGGGTATATAAAGTGTCTTGTAGCTATTTGGGAAATATTACAGTTGTTGCTGTCATGAACAAATAGGCAGATTTATCAGACTTACAGTTAAAAAACAGTTACACTTACAGTTAGTTTTCAGGGCAAGAATAGCAGTATTTCAGGAGCTGCATAGTTTATGAACTATTTGTGTACTGCTGTAGTGAAAGTGAATGAATGACAAAATGGAACTATGCAAAATAAGCAGCACAGAAACAGTGAAGAACTATAACCACACATGAAACAGATAAATGCCAACTATGGTGGTGTATTCAGATTTGATCAACATGCTACAATGGAGTAACTCACAGGAATAGGAAGACTACAGTGAACAAGAAGACTACTGTACATATGTACATAATTGACAGTTCAGTGAATCTTACTACATATGGGGCTCCACAGCAGACAGATGTGGGACAGCATCTAAGCTAACAAGTATGCATTGGTGGAAGATGTTGGAATTTGCAGGGCAGTACCAACAGCAGACCTGCTAATTCGCAAAAGGTTGTCTTCTCTCATGAATCACATTTTTTGTTTTACTGGAAGAATGAGTGTTGGCATATATGAGAAGAAACATCAAAGAAAAAACATCCCTCAACCTTCTGTCAATGAATACAAGCTGGCAGAGGCAACTTTATGGTCTAGGCCAGGGGTTCTCAACCGGTGGTATGCAAGAGAAAAATAGGTGATACACAAAGAAGCTAAGTATTTTTAACTATTAAATTCAAAAATTAAAACCCCAATATCCTGATTGAGTTTTTCCTCTGACACTCGTAAATTTATGCGATCTAAGCTTCGTTCAAGAGTGGTGGTGGTAGCAGTACTTTGTAGTGGTGGTACTAAAGGTTTTTAATTTTTGTTTAGATGGTACGCATTAGACAAAAGGCTGAGAACTGCTGGTCTAGGGAATGCTTTTATGGTATTAGTTGCTTCATTTATCATTATAATTGAAACTATGGATTGCATTAACCTGCCATTGCATGTTTTGGGTCTGCGGGACCGACCTAGGTAAATGCATTTTTTATTATTTCAGACTGATAGCACCATCTGTACTGCTGATGTTCCATCTGCATTCTTATCTTTAGTACAATGCCTAACACGTCCATTGGCAAGAAACAGGTTCATTCAGGCAGGAGATATTTCATCATATTAATTGTCTTGGGTCTGTAAGACCCAATCTGTCCAAATGTGTAAGTTTTTTTTTTTTTTTTTCAAAATTTCATTTTATTTTTTTAAATTTTAGAATTTAGACAACTGTGTGGTACTTAATTTCTGTTATGTATTTGCAGGACTTCACAAAAATTTAAATCTCAAAACACCTGATTATTTAGCCCACAGCACTACCTTTGTCTGAGGAATTCGTTTGCATTTCAAGATGATGACTTTAGTTTCATATGTTTCAAAGTGGGATAAAACAGTGATTCTCTTGTCATCCATGCATAATGATGAAAAAACTGATGAAAGTATGGATGACAAGAAGAAGCCTGAAATCATAACTTTTTGTAATGAAACAAAAGATGGTGTTGACTGTGTTAATGAGAGAGTGGCATTTTATAATGTTGCTCAAAACACAAAATGTTGGTCAATGGTTGTTTTTTATGCCCTATTAAATGCAGCAGCTTATAATTCATATTTAATTTTCAATTCAAATGCACCTGATAAGGTTATGTGGCAAAAAGAGGACATTTTTAAAAAACTCAAGTTCTATTTGACAGAAGACCATATAAAAGAAAGAGAATAAATAAAAAATCAAAAAACATTCCAAGGAATATTCATATTGTGGCACAAAAATTGTCAGAAATAGTTGTAGAGTTGGAACATCGAAATGAAATAGGAAAAAGGGGCCGATGTGCCTATTGTAAGCACAGAAAATCTCAATATATGTGTGAGCAGAGCAAAATATATTTTTGTTTAGAACACGCTGCATTTGTTAACACGCTGCATTTGTTTTTTTGTAATGAATGTAAAAATGAAATATGTATCATTGTTTTGAGTCCGCTATTCATCAACAATACAAAATACTTTTATTGAATGCTTACTTTATTTTAACTATTTTGTTTTGTGTTAAAGTTTACTATAATATCTAAAAAGGTACCTTTGCTGTAAAAAAAAGTTCACAAGAATATAAAACTTTATTTTGTTGATCTATTTTAGGATTTTAGTGTCATTCTGTTTTAATTTAAAAATTGTGTGAGCATGTTATATCTGATGTGAAGTACAATGGGCGTCACAGATTCAGCCTGTGCATTTACGACATTTTTTTCCACCCCTGCACTCACGTGTTAAGTAACCCTCAATCTTTGGAGACCATGTGCACTCAAACATGTAAATTTTTTACCCTGGGAATGATAGTATATTTCAGCATGATATTGAAATTCGATTATGGCAAATAGAATTTCTGATATATGTTTACTAATATGTAAATGATCTACAAAGCGAAAGTATCTTTCGAAGTTCATTAAACAAAAAGTGGAATTGCTGCAAAAAATAGATAAAGGCATATCCTTTGTTTATCTACACTTTGTTTATCTTTAACGCACGGCGGTATGAAATGAATTGGAAGTTGATCTGTCAGCACTATCCTTATCTTCAGGACAGATGTTTTTATTTTATTTGGCTTATAATTCCTTACTAAATGTAGTATTTCATCTCAATGTACTCCGTCTTTGATATGATTTAAATCAAATTTCCCATCATTATAATTCGCTTCCGATAGCGAAGGAAGTGACAGAGGTTATTGAAAATGAAAAAATTTCGTTTGACAAGTTAGTCGGTATTCTCGGCACAGCAATTACGGGACTTGAACAGCGGAACTTTGTAACTGAACAAGAAATTATGTCTGTTTATAGAATTAAAGAGAATGTATTATCACATAAAAACAAAGCAACTTAAACAACTTACATTGAAAGAAATGTTTAATAAAGTAAACAAATAAATATTAAGCTTTTTTTTTTTTTTTTTTTTTTTTTTAAATTTTGATACCCTTTAGATCATAATTGTTCTTTATTTCATAAGTTACGGTTTCATATTTTTAATTTTATAATTTCTGCATGCCATCTTACCAGATTTAAACTGATGATCTATAATCTGGAATCGCCGAAGTCCCGACGAGTCCGGATTAATGACTTTTGACTGTATATCATACAGTATGTACAGCTGGTTAAAAGCACGGAAGAAAACATTAATGCACTTCTTTTGCCTCCCAAATTCTTATGGCTTGGAATCAATCAAGAATCTACTAAAGAAAAACTTGAATGTGCAAGAAAAATCAACTGTTTGGGGAATAAAAAAGTGATATAGCCAAATATATACATACATACTATATATATATATATATATATATATATATAGCACTATGGAAATTTGGAAAATGTTAGATTACCCTTGCTTTTTCCAAAAGGAAAACAGAAGCAGAAATAAGTCAATAACATACTCTTGAAGCTTTATTTTCTGATGTTTAGAATCAATAGTGAAAGCCATCATAGAAATATTAGGACTTAAATTATCATAATTTTAAATGATATGAATCACAAATATTCACTAAAAATATCACTGACACCAAAAATGAGTGAGGAAACAAAATATTAAAAATAAATAATTGCTGTTTAGATACATAACTGTTCATAAAAACACACCAAAAGCCAAAATACAGGTATATAAAATATGAAACAGAGAGTGCGAAAAGGAAGGTGACCTTGCACTGGTATATGTTGGAATATTAAAACAAAAGTTTTTTTTTTTTTTTCACCATGTATCAAATATAACAAAAGTTACACAAATAACTATTAATAATATACACTACAATAAAATATATTATACTAGTTATAACTTACTCTCATTATGTAACAATAAGCAAAACTGACCTTAGATATTTTGTATTTACACAAAATGCCAAATTTTGGCACCTGTGTGTATAATGATAAAAAAAAAAATCTATATAGTTTTTTTCCCAGTTAACTTACCACAATCAGTTTCATCAGAATTATCTTCACAATCTGTAAAATGATCACAATGGAAAGTTGCATTTATGCAATGCCCACTTGCACACTGAAATTCATGACTACCACAATTACTGTAATGCTTACCTAGAAATAATATAATTTTATGAAAAACAAACTGACTTATTTGCATGAATTCCAAATAAAATTATACAAAATAACATCAATATGAAAAGTATGAAGTATATAACACATAAATTTTTATTGATATTTCATGAAACTTAATAAGCTTGCTAGTTAGTGAATATATTCGTGAAATGTTAAAAACTCTTTGTTACCTGAATTATATAAAGAGTTATCCTCAATATATAATATACATGTATCTCACACAGAACAAAAAATATGAATAGATTATTAAACAAATAAATTTCCTCACTTATATCTTTACATGATTTCCCAAGAATGTGTATAACAAAAAACTTACAAAATTGAAGTGAAAACAGGAAATAATATGCAGAATATTGTACAGAAATGGTTTGTGTACATTTTTAACAAGTTGCTTTAAAATATACTTCTATATAAACTTCTAAAATTCACAATGCATACACCGAGTTTTAAGACTGAATTCACAAAAGTCAGGAAATTACAAAAACAACTCACTTATTAATTTAGAAATCAATCAACTAAAATCAGTGTTATATTTACTAATTTTTTAGTTTTGATCCTGTCAAAATTTGCAAACATAATGCTAATTTTTTTTGTTTGACTTCTAAATTAATACTTGTTTGGCATGTTATTTTATCTTAATTAACCTATTCACTGTTTAAACTTTCATATGTATTCCCCCAAAATGTTTCACATTTCTTAGCACTGTTAAAGAGTTTCTAGTTTACTCTGTAGAAGTTTCTAGTTTACTCTTAGGTCCAATCATGACAGTTTTCCAAATTTATGAAATTTTCTAAAAATTTGCTGTTTTGGGTGAGATTTCACTTCAGAGAATAGAGAGTAGTTTGTAGGTGCATAATGATATTTTCATTTGTAACAAATTGCTCGCTAGCAACTGCCTTATGTAAAGAAAATTTTATTTTCCTCTTCAGTTCACCCACCAAGTGTTTAACAGAAGATATTGGCTGCATAAAAGCAAACAAATATAAATTTCTTTCCTAAAACAGAAGCTACTTTAATGGAAGCAAGTTGGGATGTGTTAATTATTGTTGAGATATATTACTGAATTGCAGCTTTAATGGACTGGAGCACAAGAGGTCTCAAATTTTTAAATAAGTTAAGCTGTCTTTTATTTTGAATAAACTTGAATGAATCAAAGAGAAGGCAAGAGACCACCCTACAAATAATACACTAAGGGAACCCATAAAAGTAAAGGAGGGAAAGAAGAAAGATTATCCCCAATAGATAAAATCTTAAAGAAAATGGGAAGAGGAGACAACAGTAAAGGCAAGACTGGGAACAGAGTAAAAAATCTACAAATTTTGAAATATCCAGAATGTCTTTTCCAAAATAATAATAACAACAAGGAAAAAACGCATCAATAATTTATGTGTTTTTAAAGAAAGATCTGCATTAAAAGTTATCTAAAACATTTCGATTATCTATGAATTATTCTACCAATTACATACAGAACACACTGACATCCCTCCCAAAAAATGGACATAATCAGAAACTTACACAGAATGGATTCTTCGTCAGAGTTATCACCACAGTCATCTTGACCATCACATATTTTGCTTTCAGGTATACACAAATTGTTTCCACAGCGAAAACGTCCGGGAGGACAAGCTGTCTTGCCTACAATATATATATATATATATCAAATGTCGTATGACCTTAAATTCACTTAGTTTGAAAACAAGTTTTTCTAACACTTGTGCAATAGCTGTAAAGTAAGATAATAATAATTTATTTACTAAAGAAATATTGATTATATTATCTCCTAATATAAATTTAGTAGAAGCATCAAAAAAGAGAGAACCCATATGTAGGAAGTTTAATTCCGAAAATTGTGTTTTAAAGTAGCTTGAATGTAAATTATTAAAAATGTTTTAAGGAGACTTGAATTAAATCATGAATAACAAAATTTCAAACTTTGAAAAAGAAATTAAAGTAAGAATGGTTATGCCAAACTGGTAAATTAAGTTAGGCCATATAGTTCCATGAACTGATGGGATTTAGAACCAAAGTAGAGTAACAAAGAACTCATTCTGAATTAAGCATTTTTGCTAATACAAATTTTGAGTGAAAAGCAATTTATGTAGTAAAATTTATAAAATACTTCAGTAAATGTCCCCCGACACCTTTGCTTTTATGCATGTTAATTCAAAACTATTTGAATAAAAATTAAACAGCGGTAATTTTAATTGGAATTATGAAATAGAACTCAAAGTAATTGAAATAAACATTAGAAAATTAAGAAACATAATGCTATCTTTGCAAAAACAAATCAAATAATAAAAATTGAAAAATTAATATATATATAATAAGAAAAAAATGTGAAATGTACATGAAGATATAAAAGGCCAGAAAATGTATTAATTAACTTATGTTCATTCTAGTGGGATGTCGGTAAAGTGTTGTCTTCGGTGTCTTACTCAGAAGGGGTGTGCGTACGAAATTCCGTTATCGGCAGTGGGGATACTTTGAATTATTTCAGGCGGCGAAACTTGTGAGAAGTAATTTATAGGACATGGGAGGGGAGTTGAGGGACGTTTGTTGCGGAGTTCTTGTGAGTGAAAACATCTGTTAAAATTTTGAATATACTAACTAGTGAATGGAAATTAATTAATTTCTGGCTAATTGTTGTGTCGGAAGAAGGAAGAAATTTAGAAAAGGAAAAAAAAGTAATTTTCACTGTCAATGAGCTATTTGACAGACTAAAGATTATGAAATAGGCTCATTTTTTTTAGTAACAGCATAAGAAAAGTCTGAAAACAATTAGCTTTTTACATAATATACAATTTTGTAATTACACTATGTATAAATCCTCCAACAGATAGTCATCCAACTTATACCGCCTTCTCAGGTATTTATATATGCTGCCTTCTCAGTATTTAGCGCCTCTTCTTTTAAGACAACTAATACCTAATTGATTTATTAACCAATGTCTTAAAAGAGCAGGCACTAAATACTCACTCTAAATCATTTAACTGATAAGGATATGATAATTTGTTCCTAAACCTGAGAAGGCGGTATAAGTTGGATGACTATCTGTTGGAGGATTTGTACATAGTGTAATTACAAAATTGTATATAATGTAAAAAGCTAATTTTCAGACTTTTCTTATGTTGTTACTAAAAAAATGAGCCTATTTTTCATAATCTTTATTCTGTCAAATAGCTCATTGACAGTGAAAATTACTTTTTTCCTTTTCTAAATTTCTTCCTTGTTCCGACACAACAATTAGCCAGAAACTAATTAATATCCCTTCAATAGTTAGTATATTCAAAATTTTAACAGACATTTTCACTCACATATGAACTTTGCAACAAACATCCCTAGTCCCTCCCATGTCCCATAAATTACTTCTCACAAGTTCCGCCGCCTGAAATAATTCAAAGTATCCCCAGTGCAAATAATGGAATTTCGTACACACACCCCTTCTGAGTAAGACACCGAAAAAAAAAAAAAAAAAAAAAAAACACTTTACCGACATCCCACTAGAAAGAAGGTAAGTTAATTAATGCATTTTCTGGCCTTTTATATCTTCATACACATTTCACATTTTTTTCTTATTATATATGTATATATATATATTAATTTTTCAATTTTTAATATTTGATTTGATTTTGCATTATGTTTCTTAATTTTCTAATGTTTATTTCAATTACTTTGAGTTCTATTTCATAATTCCAATTAAGATTACCACTGTTTAATTTTTATACAAATAGTTTTAAAGTAACATGCATAAAAGCGAAGGTGTCAGGGGACATTTACTCAAGTATTTTATAAATTTTACTACATAAATTGCTTTTCACTCAAAATTTGTATTAGCAAAAATGCTTAGTTCAGAATGAGTTCTTTTTGTACTGTGTTCTAAATCCCATCATTTCATGGAACTATATGGCCTAACTTAATTTGCCAGTTTGGCATAACCATTCTTACTTGAGTAAAAGATGAAACACCTTCGTATTTATTAATTATGGTTCATTGAACGAGAGTTGGTTTGTTCCCCTTGAAAAGTCAACTAATTTCTGATCAATAGCGATAATTACTTGCTTTTAATTTAATTTCTTTTGCAAAGTTTGAAATTTTCTTATTCATGATTTAATTCAGGTTCCCATAAAACATTTTTAATAATTTACATTCAAGTTACTTTAAAACACAATTTTTGGAATTAAACTTTCTACACATGGTTCACTCTTTTTTGATACTTCTACTAAATTTATATTTAGAGATAATATAATCAATATTTCTTTAGTAAAAAAATTATTATTATTATATATATATATATACACAGATAACTGTATTTAAAACTTATTTCAGCAAGAATTCCAAAAATTAAGCCACACGAGAGGGGAGCTTAAGACATTATCAGTTAAAATTATGAATACATGAAAATATCAGTCTTAATTTACAAACTAGAAACTGAAAGAAGTTATTATTTAATAAAATGATTAAAATATTACCTAATTTTTGATGAATAAAATACTATCCACTTTATATTATGCTACTGTACATTTTTTTTCCTAGATATATATAAATTTACAAGTAATATAGTTCTAAATAAAATGTCACTGCATGTGTCTGCATATATATTTACATTACATTGGAACATCAACACCTTAAAGCTTTACACTGTAAGTGATAGTAAACATGCAATAGAAATAATGTCAGCAATAATATCAGGTAGCAAAACCTTACTTAAAAGAAAGAAGGGGAGAAACTAGAAGTTGCTCTCCCTTCCTCTAGAGATAACATACCAAGGATTTAAATTTTTATTTATTTGATAACAAACAAATTAAATAAATATAATATTATACAACTACAAAATAAAATTGCAAGATATTTATAGCCCACAAATGAAGAAAATTTCTTTCCATTAATTTCTTTGCTTTATAAAAAGTAAAGCAAGCCTTTGAAAGATTCTAGAAGTAGAAATGAAGTACAGGAAAGAGACAAGTATCATTAATTTACAAGCAAAAAATTTTTCAGTCTCCCTAAGCCTTAAAAAATTCATCATATAATAGCAAACAATTATTAAAACAATAACAAAAGCAATAATGATACAATAAAATATATAAACCAAATAAATAGAAATAATTAGAGGTGGAATAAATCCTAATTTTCTCAAATCTCTTGAATTCTTCGTATAAGAATACAAGTTAAATAAAAAAACTTTTACATACAAATTTTTAATTAAAGCAAATTCCATATCTACATGTAATAAAAGATAAGTTAAAGAACAAAGTTTCTTAAATATGACTATATTTATTCAAAAGATACATTCAAAATTTAGTAAAAGAAGGACATAATTAAAATTGTTTATTATTGAAATTCATCTTCACAATATACAGTTGACCAAAAAAAAAAAAAAAATATTTGAGTACGAGTTTGAATTTCATAAATCATTCAAAAAGCTTTTTATGTAAACTTTTTAAATCAAGGCAAGCATAGAGGAGGAAGGATTATTTCAAGAGTTTATATAGATAAACACTAAAAACAGGATGCTAGATTCGCTCAGGAAAATTAAGAATGTAGCACTCAAGCTGTTACAGAGTAATATTTATGATATTCAGGTTTACTAAAATTGCAATAAGCCCATTATGCTTTTTTTTTAACTAAATGCTTCTGTTGCATATCAATAAATTCATTTTTTTTAAAGTTTTGAATTAAAACTTTTAGCTGTTCTTAGATTATGGTTCAAAATATTCAAATGATGAAAAAAATGAAGATCCATTTTCCAATCTCGAATTTTTTGCAAGATTTATGAGATTCCACGCCACAAAGATTCAAATGTTCTTTCCTTAGAAATAATTACTTGTCACCTTTAAATAATGTCTAATAAAAACTGAAAACGTACTGACAGACTTAGATGTTCTAGTCTGTCATTATCTAGAAGCACTGATAATGCATTAATCTACCAACACCTAAATTTTGTTAATGGCCAGCTGTTTGATTTTCGTTTATAGTTGTTTAAAAGAGAGTGTTTGGCAAAACTGAATGGGTAAGTCTCTCAAGTTACAATGGCCTGGTAGTCCTACAACCATTGTTTGTAAGAAATATTATTTACTTTATCCTATGGAAACTGAACTGTAACACTTATTGAGTTTCCTGCCACTGCAAATATTGTCTGCACAAACAGTTCACGCTGGTATATTTAATCACACTACGACAAGGACAAGTGGAAAACAAGGACTATGACATTCAAAAAGCAGAGTGCTCGGGTGCCTCATCATTTATATTCATCAGGCAATTACTTCGATGATTTTTCGGCTCATGATGGAAATCAAACTGTGTCATATGTTCTGTATGATGCTAAGAGCTTGAAAGAGAAAAATATGCTCGACTTGTTTAGATTGATATAATTTATTGCTTATATAGCTCTCTCTGTAGTCAAGCAAAGCCTTTTACTAAAACTGCCCAAAATCTGTGTGCTACTTTTGCAATAAATGTTAAACTTTTTTTCAAATGCTGCATAAAAAAGTACTAAATACTATTTTTATTTTTCATTTCTTTTCATAAAAACAAAAGCCGTTTCTTCTGTAAACCAATAGAGGTTTTAATATACACTCATGTCCAAAATTATGTTTACATGCATAAATTCACGGATTTCTCAGAGACTATGACTTATAATTTAATGAATTTTTCGTGGAATCATACATAACATGCTGACACATAAATGCAAAAGAAAAAATTGAAGATCACCTCATATGATATAAAATTGTAGCATGAAACAATAAAAATGATAATAAAGTGTGACAAAGAGAGTTAAGAAAAAAAGGAATGATTCAGAAAAAGAATTAAGTCTTACGAATTTAATATGGAATATGATCTCCCCTGACTTGTACACACATATCACAACGTGTTTTAAGGCTGGAAATAACGTTGTTAACCACAGTTTGGGGAATTAATCTCTACTCTTCCAGCAATGCCGTCTTCAGAGCATTTACATCTCTAGGAGGAGGATGTATACGTGCAATTGCTCTTCCAAGGTAGTCCCATAAGTTCTCTATCGGGTTAAGGTCAGGAGAGTTTGGTGGCCAAGGTATTCGCTTCACTTTCAAGGAATTCATCAGCGAGGTTTGCTCGATGTGGATGGGCATTATCATCCATAAATAAAAAGTCAGGTCCATATGCCCCCTGAAAAGTCTTACATAAGGCTCTAAGACCTCATCCCGATATATCTGGCCTGTCACAGATCCGCTGCTGAACACGTGTAGGGGCGTACGTCCATCGATCATTATTCCACCCCATATCATCACACCTCCACTACCAAAACGGTCACGTTCCACAATGTTCGAGGGATCATTACGTGTTCCTGACTCCCTCCAGATGTAAACACATTTAGAATCACCAGTTAAACTAAACCACGACTCATCAGTAAAGAGAACATGGGACCATTTATTGCTAGTTTTGATGTTCTTTACACCAATTAAAGCAATCCCTCTTTTTCTGTGAAGACTGTAAAACACATACCCTTGGCTTTCATAATTTAATGAATTTTCATGGAATCATACATAACATGATGACACATAAATGCAAAAGAAAAAATTGAAGATAACTTCATATGATATAAAATTGTAGCATGAAACAATAAAAATGATAATAAAGTGTGACAAAGAGAGTTAAGAAAAAAAGGAATGATTCAGAAAAAGAATTAAGTCTTACAAATTTAATATGGAATATGATCTCCCCTGACCTGTACACACATATCACAACATGTTTTAAGGCTGGAAATAACGTTGTTAACCACAGTTTGGGGAATTAATCTCCACTCTTCCATCAATGCCGTCTTCAGAGCATTTACATCTCTAGGAGAAGGATGTATACGTGCAATTGCTCTTCCAAGGTAGTCCCATAAGTTCTCTATCGGGTTAAGGTCAGGAGAGTTTGGTGGCCAAGGTATTCGCTTCACTTTCAAGGAATTCATCAACGAGGTTTGCTCGATGTGGATGGGCATTATCATCCATAAATAAAAAGTCAGGTCCATATGCACCCCTGAAAAGTCTTACATAAGGCTCTAAGACCTCATCCCGATATATCTGGCCTGTCACAGATCCGCTGCTGAACACGTGTAGGGGCGTATGTCCATCGATCATTATTCCACCCCATATCATCACACCTCCACTACCAAAACGGTCACATTCCACAATGTTCGAGAGATCATTTCGTGTTCCTGACTCCCTCCAGATGTAAACATGTTTAGAATCACAAGTTAAACTAAACCGCGACTCATCAGTAAAGAGAACATGGGACCACTGATTGCCAGTTTTGATGTTCTTTAACCAATTAAAGCGATCCCTCTTTTTCTGTGAAGACAGTAAAACACACACCCTTGGCTTTCTGGCATAAAGGTCTTTTTCATTAAACCTTCTGTATATTGTGTGCCGTGATGCAACAGTTCCAGTGGCGGCTGCAAGCTCTGAACTTAACTGGCGAGCAGTAGCCTTTCTGTTACGATGGGCAGTTAATGCCAGATACCGATCTTCAGAAGCAGTTGTCATTCGTTTCCGACCTTGTCCAGGCCTCCTTACAACACTTCCATCATTTTGAAACTGTTTCCATAGCTTAGATACTGTCTGTCTTGAAATATTCAGACATGTGGCTGTTTCCATGATTGACTGCCTTGCTTCTAAACGGCCGATAATTCGCCACTTTACAGATTCTTCCAAATGATACTTCAAAGCCATAACAAACCGCTTTGAGTCCCTACACACTGAAATCAAACGCTATGTTGCAGAAATTCACTCAAATATTCAGTTTGCGCAAAGCGCTTGATTCACCCTTGGAAGACGTAATGTCTAGATTTGCATATCACAAACTGTTTGATTACTTTTGATTGGATAATGCTAATTAGGCTTGGTTTTCACACATTCCCTGCAAATACGGATCACATTGATTCGATATTTTCATTGAATATCATCATTTTTGGGTATGTAAAGATAATTTTGGACATGAGTGTAGTTCTCAACAAAGCTATGCAGTATAAAGTTAGTCTTTTTAATGTGAGAGACACTTTTATTACATACGAAGACAGTCAACTCTAACATTGCACTATGTAACATAATATAACAGAAAGGTAATATTTACTACAAAGTGCTGGATTCTCATCTGAGTTATCACTGCAATCATTTTCTCCATCACACTGCCACAGAGAAGAGATACATTCAGCCCCATTGTGACAAGCAAACTGCCATCCTTGACAAGTAGTAGCTACTGGCAAAACAATTTGATATACAAAACTATTTTTATAAACTGTAGTTTAATATTTATGCGCTTAATTAAAAATATAGACTTATATTACTGTATATTAAGAACTGTGCTATAAAATTAATGTTAAAATAAATCCTTTTTGAGCAATTAAAAATAATAAGCAAAGTAACAAAAAATTTAAAGTTGCAGATTCATAGTTCATATAACTGAGATTTTAAAATACAAAAAAAAAAAAAAAAAAAAAACTGTACCACAGCCTTCTTCATCTGACCCATCAGCGCAGTCAGTGTCACCATCACAGTGCCACTCTGATAATATGCAAAAGTTCGTTGAAATGCAGGCAAACTCATTCGCTTTGCAAGTTACATCTAAAATTAAAATGAATAAGTAAATAAATAAAAAATCAAAATACTTAAATTTCTGCTTAAGACATAAACATTTAATCGAGTTTTTAAAATTTAAGTAAAAACGTAAACTTAGTCTAGCAAAGATTTGCGGGGGGGGGGGGGGGGGGGGGGACTTCCAAAATCTATCCCAAATGAAGACATTGGTGTGTTTCACTTCCAGTTTGGCTTAATTCAGCTATTTAAAATTATCTGCAGTCAGAGTTTCTTACACAAATTTCAGTTAAAACGTTATAACAGATCTACTACTTTTTAATGTCTTTGTGACTCTTAATGCCCATGATGGCTTGCCACTTGGGATTGCCATAATCTGTTTTTTTCCCTCCCTTTCAAAAATGCAAATCTGTTGAGGTAATTAACTGTAATTTTTACAAAACTTTTGCTTACCTCTCTTGTAGATAATACAACAGAAAGCCGAAATTCAGGTGCCGAACATCCAGAATGATATAATATCTGGACCACAAGCCAATAAATAAATAAATAAATAAATAATAAAAACCCTCCCCTTCCCATTATAAAAATCTAGGAATAGAGAATACAATACCTAACAAAAGGAAACATATGTGCGGTAAATTCAATTTTCTCCTGACCAACTGACATTCCTGCACGTCACTTTCAAACACCTGCTGGCTTGGGAATTCCATCATCGCCAATAGCAAGACATTGTATTACAAATTTCTACATATCTTGATAACTCTACCCCCTCAAAAAAATTCTGTGGGAGAAGCAAGATATTTGTCAATGCTCTAACATGAATAAATGCAACTGCACAGTTGTTAGTCGGCAGAGTGAAACTCTTAGAGCTCAGGACTTTAACACAAATGCTCTTTATGCTTATTATTAAGCAAGATAGAAGAGAAACTAGTCAAAGTAAAACATACAATTAGGTAAAGCAATAACCTTGTGTTTAGCAAGGATTTTAGTCAAGATTCTGCTGATTTCGAGGACAAACAGGTGCAGGTCCCTCTTAATCAGGAATAAACAAATCTTGAATGAAAGAAAAACCACTGCAGTATTTTTACCCAAAAGGAGTAATGTGAAAGAGACTGTAGCATCATCTATCAGCAGAAATAGTAATGAGAATTGAAAAATTAAGTTAACAGAATTGTATAAGTGTTAGAAAGGACTGAATTATAATTAAAGTCATTAAGCTTCAAGGAAATTCAATTCACCAATAGGAGAAGCCTTTTGGATGATTTTTGTAGATCCAAAGTCAAAATTGTGTTTACATTTCTGATACTAATTATCTATGAAAGACAGTGAGCGTAGCTACGGTGGGGCAATGGGGGGACATCTGTCCCCGGGTGCAGCATCCAGGCGGTGCCAAATTGATGCTATGAAATTTTTAATGAAATGTTTTCCATTTATGGCACACAGAAAGGGGTGCAAATTCTTCAGTTGTCCCCAGGCACTGGAATCCTAGCTACGCCACTGATGAAAGAATTGTTAACTTTGCCTTTTCAGACATAAGCTTTATCTTCCTTAATGCTAAATTTTAAAGCCATTTTAGTACGGTCAATATTATTTCAACTCACACCGACAACATATGCTATAAATTCTCCAAGGATTGAAACTGGAGGTGAAATCTTTAAGAATCAAACAATTTTATTGACAAGTGAAAACATTAATTTCTGAAGAGTCTATGAAAATTTGTAACTGATAGATATATGAAATGAAATTAAAAAGACAAGGTTGTTAATGTTAATTCTAACAGTGGAATGGCTTCTTTAATAGCAAGGCAAACAAACATTTTTTAAAGACTATCAATGACAACAGGAGATAAATCCTCTGTTAGTGGCAACTGATCTAAATAACTGAGTTTATTAGAATAATAACTGAGTTATAATCAAATAACTGAGTTATTTCTGAGGAACAAACTTTGAAAATGTGAAATGCATAACAGTAAAAAGAAGCCATTTTTTGCTTAGCCTACAGTAGTGGCTACAGTTTGTTACATGACAACCTAGAAAGGTAGATAAACAGTAGTGGGTTTATGGTAAACAGTAGTTCTGAAATCAGATTCACTGAAAATTATAAAAATATCCAAGAAGGGAAGTGAATTGTCACATTCAATTTTAAAAGTGAACTGGATGGCTGGATCAATACAATTTATTACAGATAAAGGCTGGGATAATTTTTTTTATTAAATGAAAAAATGCAAAAGTGTCATCTACACAGCTACACCAAAGACAAAAGGATAGTTTCCCAATTTATATGACCTCAAAACAGTGCATGTAAAAGTTAGCAAGTACAGAACTGAAGAGATTACCGATAGTTAATCCTTCAAATTTGTCTTCCTTAAATCAAGGATTATCTCCTATGACTACAGATAATGCCTTTAAAATATTTTCATCTTGCCATTAAATGACATTCCACTGACAGAAATAACACGAAAACTTTGTCATGCCTCCATTTCATCCTTCTATCAGTTCCAAAATTGTATGGATTCTCCAGAAGATTAGTTTGGTTATTTTCAAGCCTATCAATAGAATCCCTAGCTCGATTTTTAAAGATTCCATTTCTGACTTTAATTCTTGGGTAATTTATAGCACAATTTAGCAGTGTGGTTTGAGCTATATCAAACAAACTAAATATTAAAGTTTCACATCAAGGAACATATATCTTATGCCTCAAAAGGCAAAATTAACAAGTCTTCCATTATATTTGGAAATTTAATCACATTTTTTAATTGGGGGGAGTCTGCAAAAATTATCCAGGAAGCTTCTTCCATTGGTGAATTGGATTTCCCTGAAGCTTTTCACATTTACAAAGGTTTATCTTATTTATTAAATGACTTTAAAATTCCAGTCTAGTCCTTCCTCATGCTTTTAAATTTCTATTAATTCAACTTTTCAATTTTTGTTACTATTTCTGCCAACATGTGCAGCTATTTTCTCATTCGCTTTACGATTTTTGGGTATAAATACAACTATGGCCTTTCTTTTGTTACAAATTTCTTTGCTTCTGATGAAGAGTAACTTGTACCTGTTTTCTCTCAAAATGATACAGTCTTGACTAAAATCTAACAAAATTGTTGCTTTGCCTAATTTTAAGTTATTATTAATCCCTGATTAATCTTCCTTTTGAACACAGTACCTGATATTATTAGATACACAGTAAATGATATACTAAAAAGAAATTTCTTTAATTAAGATTAGTATGAATAAATTTTTATACCAATAGATTCTACTGAAAACTAATTTTCAAAAAGGGAATGTCCAAACGAAAAGTTAAAAATATAGTTAGTCCTTCCTAAGAAAAGTACTCGCAGTTCAACAGAATTCTCGTCTAATGTGAGTTGCCTTAAATAAATTATATTCAATGCTAACGTTTACTTATATTCTCAGAAATACAGATCATTTTCAGAAGTGGTTGTCTGTGGTAGATAAGTTGTAATAACAGATTTTACAGCGTTTTTTTTTTTTTTTTTAATTCAGTGACTCAGGAAAGTTTTTATGATTAGTTGAAATATTATGGATGCTCCAATGGATTGTTCAATACTTTTTATATATTGTTGTTTTATATCACTGGCCATATGCAATTTAATGCATTCATTGCAAAAGGCTAACAACCATAGATCATTTAATTGTCTCACTGTCAGGAATATTGCCCCATGTGCACTAGACAAAGCATCTAATTTTACACACAAATGAACATGTTAGTTCCATCCCACTTTGACAGAGAAAACCACAGGCAATGGCTTCAACGGTCTTTTCCATTACCAGCAAACCTCCCACAAGACACTTCTGGCAAGCTGGTATTAAATGACACCACACTGCACAGATACTAAACATTCAAGCCTTTTCCGGGATTCAAATATAGCTAAATGATATGACAGTTAGCAGTACTAACCACTATACTGATATTCGTGGCAGTTCTAGATGCTTTTTTTGCTTTTTTTTAAAGTTTGACACTTTATGCAACAGGTCAGAAACAATAAATAAAAAGGATAGAAAAAAATAAGTTAAAACTTTCTAAAATGATCTTTGACAGTAAAAGATGGGCTCACCAGTGGCTGAGTGGTACAGTCACTAAACTAGTTTGACCTGGGTTCAAACCCAGCAAATAGGCTGGCTTGATGGATATTTTTACGGTTTTCTCAACATGTAACATAGATAATGGCCTACTTCTCTACAAATGCATCGTTTTCCAGGAACAGATAGCTCTCAAGTAGCTTTGCCTTAAAATAGTGGTATTCAAACTTCATGGCAGAGGGCATTGACCCTTATATACCATCAATTTAGATTTTTTAGGATTTTTATCCACCTTGCAAACCCACTATAAGTTTTTGTGGCCCCATTTGGGGGTCATGATACATAAATATATATCTTTGACTGCAAAATATATAATCCTTAGAAAGTGTATATTTGCACATTTGCTTCAATTGAAAACTACAAAGTACACACGGGTTATCTACCTGAGAGAAGGGATACCTTTATGGACAACTTTCTGAATGAAATTGGCTTACATTTATATTACACGAGAAAACCTTTGACATGCTCATACAAGATGCATATTTGCCAGGGTTTGAACTAGCATTGTTCAACAGTCTTATCTACTCAACTACTGGTGATCACGTGAGCTAATATGCATTTGTTTTTAAGTAACAATAGTTTTAAAGATTAATTATACAAACAATGAAATATATTTCAGACTTACTACAACCAACTTCATCACTCTGATCATCACAATTATATTCTCCATTGCATCGCCATGATGAACTAATGCATTTACCATTATCACAACGAAATTCACTTTCTGAACAATTCCTGAGAACTGAAAATTATAAATATATTAAGTATTAGTTTAAAATACCATAAAAAGCAAAATTTTCAAAGATGTTTATATTCATGCATTTAAATATTTTTATACTCACAAAAGAAAAATATAATAATTTCTATTAAAAGTTTTAAGGCCAGTTTTGTTATTTTTACTTCCATTTATCAACTTATCATTACATAAGCATCATATCTGTTTTTTCTGAAAAATTTCAGACCATATTTAAGATGATTTAAAAGTAAAATTAATGCTAAAAATGCATAAGGTACATGTAAATATAGCTTGTAGCAGATATTTTTCATTATGCAAGTGGCAAAAATCCACACTATATTTGAAAAGTACAAAAACCTTCAAAGTAATTTGTTTTGCTATTGTTTTGATTAAATATGTAAGGATTGTATTTGTAAAATAATTAACTGTTATATTAAAATTAAATTTTTCCCCCCTTCACTCTTTTTTTTTAAACCTATTTCTCTCCCTTCCCCCTTTTTTGCGTAAAAAACACCTCTAAAGCTATAACCAGGGTTCGTACACATTTCTGCACATGGAAATTAAGTACTTTTAACCCATTAACTGCCCAAACTAAAAGGAATGTTTCGTTTCTCACGAAAATAATAGCAAATATTAAATTAAGCATTTATAACATAAATTTACATTCAAAATAAAAAAAAAAAATGCTCTTACCTGTGGAAAAAGCGAGTGTTGCGTTCGCGCAACGTCAGTGGAATAAGACTACGGATGTTTAGTGAGTAGGATTGTACTTGTGTGATGTTTCCTTTGAGTGGAGCGCAGGATTACTTTTTAGCTGTATAACATTTTATAAATCTACAAATCACATTACTTGTAATTAATTTAATATTAAAATATACATTGTATTTCTTTTACAAATACAGATTATTTCATTTGAAAGATTCAAGCATGAAAAGCTTGATTACAATCATGATGTAAAGCTACATTACATACTTTGCACCTATAAACAGTCTGGCTATGGTACTCTTTACAACAAAGTCTTTTGTTATCAATGGACTTTACGATAAAATGTCTACCATCTCCATTCAATGGTTTTTGAATGCTGAATTTACTAGATCTTCCTGTTGCTGATCTATTTCTGGCTAATTCTACACTCTCAATAGGAGTTTGCAAAAGGACTAATGCATTCTCGCGTCTGAAATCTAAAAGAGACTATATTTCCAGTAGAAAAAAGTGGTGATATTTAGTAAGTTTAGATACGGTCTCACCTCATATAATTTATCAGTATTGTCAATTTTTGACTATTGTCAAATGCAAATTCTGCTTCATATTCCTGTACTGCAAACGTGATATCAATTCTCGTACAACAGGAACAGAAATGTCCTTATCAAAAGACCAATACATTTTTTCTTGAGGTAAAGAATGATATCCTGTAAGCAATAATATTCCAATAAATCTTCTCATATAGGCTTCAGATGCAATAAATTCTGAGTTTTTTTTTTTTTTTTTTGCTAAGCGTCAAACGAGAAGAGAGTAAATGTCTAAACCAAAAAGAAAATTGAAAATATGTGCACTAGTTTTACCTTGTGTTTTGCCTTTTATAATTTCTCTTCTATCTCCTTCTTCATGTTCTTCCTGAGTCATAACTAACAGTTCCTTTTTTATCCACTTGAAGATTCCAGTCGTCTGCTTTTTGAACTTTTTAGTATGACTGTAACTGCTTTTAGAAGGCTGAAACTTACTTCTTAAGTGAATTTCAACTTCCACAGCGGTATCATTTGGTAAAATATCATTATCATTATTTAAAACATTGATATTTCTTTCTTCTTCGTCATTAGCCTCTGCAATTTCTGGGGGAACAACAACAATATCAGTTTCATTTGGCCATTATTAACATTATCATCATCTGTTTCTTCATCAAAAAATCTTTAAAGGGCTTCTTCTAATGTAAGATTTTTAAAGCAGCCAGAACATCGAAAGGAATGAGTAAAAAAAAAAAAAGATTACCCGTTTCCTGCTGACGTTGCGTCAGCGCAACACCTGTTTTTCCTTCCTTCCCAACACAAATATAAACATCTGACTGATGTAATGTTCTGATAAACGGTGACCTTGACTAAAAATAGATCACTCATAAAGATGCAGCAAAAATACCCGGTCGAAAATTTTGCTTAAAGTATGAGATTAATTATTATAAACAAAATGATTGTTGAAGGCAAATATTCTTTTACAAAAATAATCTTCATAATATTCCCTACACAAAATCATCTGCTGGTATAAAATATCTTAGGTAGTTATATTTATATATGCAATTATTTTGACTGTTGCGTCAAGGCAACACCAGCGGCTAATGGGTTAAGGACCATTAATGAAAAAATTAAGGACCTATGAGCAAATAGCAATTAAAAATATTATCAATGCCTGAACTTCACTTTTGTAATACCATTCAAAAAATAAAATAGATCCCTAAGTAGGATGCATTATTATTAAACATAACTTAATTAACATAATTATTAGTAAGTTTGAGTATAAAATATACTTTATGAAATTTATCAAACAGCATTAATTATTTTACACTTATATGTCTCATTACTTGCTATATCTAGAGGTTTACTAAATAGCCAGGTAGATTTTATGTCAAGCGTCATAGGTTAAAATGAGAAGTAAAATCATTATTAGAATTATTTATTTTTTGATTTTAAGACTGGCTGTTGTCACCACTGCTCCTTGCTTAGAGAGAGACCTGCTAGACCAGAACAAAACTGAAAGGCCTGATGTGGGTACGGCTCGCTAAATTTTGAAAGTTAGGTGGGCTCCGTCTGATGCAGTTAGTGTCGTAGCTCTCGTGTAGAGTTCCAGGGGTTGTAACCCAGTTAATATACTTTAAGGTTCCAATAAGCCACCTAAAGCACCAGAGGTGATACTAAGCTTTGCTTTGTATTATTTTAGGTCTCATTAGATACGAAAGAATAAGTTTTACATGAATTTTTACATTTTGTGTTTTATCTTGTACCACGGTAAGCATTAATGAATGCTTTCATTATTCACTTTAATATGCAATAACTCACTTTAATTATGCAGAGATAATTTTTAAGGGTAAGCAGTTAGTTATAAATTGAATTATATTAGGTAGTTAGCATAACCTTAGTCATTATGGATTTACATGATAGCCACTATTAAATTTTACCTATTTTTTAACAATACTGTTAAAAGCCCTATTAAAATCACAATCTAATAAAATTTCACAGTTTAAAATACATGCAATTTATGTCATTGATTCTTCAACGATATTAGGATAATTATACATTAAAAGCTACAAAACATTTATGTTTGATAGTATACTCAGCAAAATATTTATGCTTCTTTTTAATTTGAAGCCTGGCCAGACATTTTGGCTAATTTATATCGATTTCCTTCTCTTTAAGCATCTTTACTAAGAATTAGAAATTTCTCTCAATATGCAAACTAGTGTTCTCATTAGTTTCTGCGTGCTTTATCTCCTAAATTGTCAACCTCTCCACAATGTACCTATGAGGGTTTACTTGATCTGGGAAAAGTTAAGTCCAAAAACTCCCGACAGACACAAAGCAAATTATCACTATATCACAAAGAAATTACAAAGGTTTAAAAAAGCCTCTTATTTAAAAAGAACTTAAAGGTATGTTCTTATGCTAACCAAATCAATTAAAGTTTGGGGTGATGTAATTAAACAAGAATAATCAAATTCAAACAAAAAAATGTGGACTAGTGGTCAAAGACTACACAATTTAATTTAATTTTAAGCTGGCTCAGTAACTCTACTGTCATAACAAATTCAAATGTCGGCAGCAGTAATGCAAAGACGAATAATTACAAAATATCAGAGCCGGCAGGAACTAATGCAAGGAGCAAGTGAAGGTCAGAAACACACTCGCCTTACAGTCCAAACACCTCAGTTTAAAAAATGTCTAGGTGATTCCCATTCTAGGGAAAAAATACAAACAGGAAATTACAGTAAAAGCTAAAATTGTAAACAACTGGGTAATTTACGTAATAATAACTGTACATATCTTTGAAGAATAATTTTATATATTCAGTTTCTTTTGTCTACATTTTCTTTCATTTCAGAATTTTTGGATTTAATTAAATATTTCTGTTATTCTAAAAAAAAAAAAAAAAAAAAAACTAAATGCATTTAAAATGCATAGAAAAAGCTGCTAATTTTATTTCTTTGGTAATATTAGTTAGTTATTCACAAGAGATATGAAATATATATGGTAAGGGGCGGTTACAGAGCTGGTGTGGCAGAATTTTTAGAATTTAGTGACACACCCAGCAACAAAATGTAGAAATGGCAAAACTTTTAGAATTTAGAGCAGGCACTGGAAGCAGAATTTAGAAAGGCACTAGTCAGCAAAATTTAGAATCTACAAAGAGAGGTTTAATATTCCACGTGATTGCACTAGGTCGGAAAATGCCTAGCATCAGACCAGTCTATGATGCATTAAGACATATTAGATTAATCTTTTAAATTGCCAGTTTTCAATTTCTTTATTAATCAAAAAATTCCTTTCTATAATGCCTGCCCATGTGATAAGATTAGAAGCATTTTTAATATTTTCCATACTTGTGTCAAGTGAAAAGTAGAGAAAATAAAGCGAAGATAAGCATGTTAAGAAAAAGATTCTACTATCAGAAGTAAAACATTCAAATATTATGTTTTCATTGTTCTTCCAGATGTTATCCAAAAAGTAAGAAATTCATTGCAATCTTTCTGCAAAATAAATCCATTATGTGTTAATACCATAACGACATTTTTCATTTTGTCACATTTTTCTAAAATCTTATGGAATCGTGGGTCTATAAATCTTGCCTTCAAATCCTTCTAAACTTTCCAAGTTGCAATGTCTAATGTCCCGAAGAAAAATTACTCCTACCAGTTTTGTAACAGCAAACAGCCAGAAATATTTTAGGAAAAAAAAAAAAAAAAAGACGAAAAAAGTATGAAATTAATTAATTAATTTTATAGAGAAAACATGCATATTCTGAGAATTCGGAATGCTCTGAGACAATTACATGCGAAAACTCTGATCATGAAAAAATTGAAAAGATATTGTTACAGATTTGGTATTTAAATAGCTAATGTTATTTGAATTATAAATTAAATTGGTTTATTCCCCATGCACTGCAGCGCATGACGAATATTAAAGGAAGGCTAAGCCGGAAAATTAAAAATACGAGAGCACGCGCATTTAACATTTAATAAATAAATATATCTTTTTGATTTTGAGAAAGTTCCAGAAAACTCTCGCGCGCTTTTTAAAATCTTATAAAAGGAGGAAAACCTCTCAGTTCGGTGTGATTTTAGTTAGTTACTTAGTTTGTCGTTGTTTTAAGAGTTTGTTTAGAAAACTGCTCTTGTTGATCATAGCGAATTCGCGGATTAGCTCTCTTTAGCTGTTTTGAATTGACGTTCTATCTGAAGGTTTTGAGTAGTTTATAATATAACTACAGTGAGTATATTGTAATACTGTACGAATATATTTGAGAAAATGTAAGCATTTTGTATTTATTTGTTGTGGATAATAATAAATTTTCTCATTAACTTCTTAATCGGACTTATGCATTCATTCCATTGCGAACCCGTACGCACGCAACAATATTTTAAAATTAATATATTACTTTTTAAATATAATTTCAATATAATAACATTATTTTAATGAAATTTATCAATGTTAGAATGTTAAAAAAAATCATCGAAAAATTCCCAGCTCTTGGAATTTAAAATTTTCTATAGAAACTGATCTTAAAAATCACCAAAATGTTGATAAGTCAACTTAGATCTGTTCAATAAAAGAATTCACATCCCCAAAAGCAAAAAATTGTTTAAGAGCTCTTCATTAGAAAAAATGAAATAATTTCAAAATACTTGTTTCACTTCTTGCTCAGAAACTCAAGTATCCCACCATTTATATTAGAAATAGGAACAAATCATAACCCATTCAAATAACCATATTTATCACTGAATCGCCAAAAATATACCTCCAAACTGCTAATTCACACTCAAAATGGCAGTCGTAAAAACAGACAGAAATTTCACATGATTAAAATTAAGGACCTTCTGCCGTTTTTGGCCAAAATTAAGGACTTTTAAGGACCAAAAATCGATTCCAAAAAACTTAAGGACTGTACAAACCCTGTATAACCCAATTTAAGGATGGCTCCCAACTGAACAGCAAAGAGTTCTATTCAAATGAAGTAAGGAAAATAGATCATAAAAATTTCAAAAAAATTTTAATGTTCTCAATACTGAAGTAGAAAACCTATATCAGTTTTTCGACTGCATCACTTGAAAAAATAGGACAGCACATTCCAAAGAAGTTTAAAAAAAAACAACTAGGAAATTAAAATGTCATGGAATTACAACTAATGTAGAAAAAAAAATTACACCATAAAAAATGAATGATTGAAGGTTAAAGGAAACAGAAAAAATTAAGCAAATAAAGTCCATGCAGGGAGGAAAATAAATAAATTTATGAAAAGGAAGAGAAATAGTGTCTAGAAAAAAAGCTATACATTTGAAAAAAATTTAAAGATAAAAAGGGGTCTATCACTAAACGCTGGCTGAAATAATATACAAAACTAGAAAGTCAGTTCCAAAAGAAAGAACTTCACAAATTTCTTTCTTACATTCTGAAGTAAACTGCTTGTATTAAAAACTGAGCGACACAAATTTCCTGAGAAAATTTTGGTGCGAATTTTAAGCAAAATAATTTAAGAATTCACAAATACTTATCTGATAAAATTTGATGACATAGTAAAATTGATTAAAAAAAATCCAACAGATCTCTTAGAACAAGAAATTAATGATGGTTCACTAATTGAAATTTTCCATCATCAAAATGAAGCAGTTCATCAGAATTAAACAAATGCATAAAGAAAACTTACCAATTTTTTTTACAGAAGCAACAACAACAACAAAAAAAAAAAAAAAAAAAAAAAAAGGAAGCAAGCAACACAGTTTATAATACTGCAAAAATTTAAATTGACATCTAACCCTGTGTCACAATTATCAAATGTCTAGGGAATAATAATTATTATGTTTTAAATAAAAAGATATATAAATATTACAATAAATAAATAAATATATAAAATATACAATAAATAAATAAATAAATACATAAAATATACAATAAATATATAAAATATATAAAATATAGTTTAAGACACGAAAAAGCACAAAAAGTACAAAATGTGAGTATAATAATGATGAAAAAGCAGTTTATCTCTTTTGTGAAGCAAATTACCCAGCCACTTTTATGGAATGTCCCAAATATCTTATAAAATAAAAGATTCTCGCTATAAAAAGAGGAAAAGGAAGAATAGAAGTCTGAATGCTGGAGAAAAACCAAAAACATCAAAACAGCATAATAATAACAAAGCTATTTATTTGTTATTGCATTAATCACAAAAATCCTAAAATCAACGCAAATGGAAAAGGCAAAGTTTAACCCAAAGAAGAAGATGATTTTAAGGATGTAAAACATTTTTTCAGATTAAATTAATTACAAACAATTTAATATACAAAGCAATTTCTTAAAAACTTAACAAAGACTTTAAAAAGAGTTAAGTACCAAAGAACAGCTTTCTCTTCATGCAAAGGGAAAATGGATATGAGGTATGACTAATGCAGTAGTCTTTTCAGCTTCAACGATGGCAATCTGAATAAACGGAATGGAGAACTTAGTTCAAAATAGAGGATATAAGTTAGAATTTTTCACAGTTCGTTATACGATTTACCAATACTTTTAGCCTTAATAGGCAGCACATTTGTGCAGATTTTTTATTTTTCTTATAAAGAATAAGATTTCATTTAATGGTAGTGTTTATGCAATTGATCTTTTTCATTCACGAAGTGCAATTATACATTATGATAAAACAATACAATAACCAGAAGAATGGCTCAGCTGTTGTTTGTATAGGGATAATTTAACATCCTATATATTGCTCTTAAAATCTATTCAACATATTACTCTAAACCTTCTGTCTACTGTTCACTGTTCTTTTGTTTAAGTTTAAAGCTTCTTAAATTTTATCATTTAATTATGTAAGAAACCAATTATCTAATTGTTTATAAAATGTGCCATTTTCATAATAGTTAAATCTATCCATTGGGGAGATGTAACGACTTCACTTATTTAAAACAGAATGGCATAGTAAAAGAAAAAAAAAAATCACTCACTCACTCACGCAAGCACACAAGAACTTGACTGTAAAGCATTAAAACAAAAATTATGTCCATCATACTTCAATATAAATGTAAATTATTAGCAGTTTTTTTAAAAACTTTTACTATTGTTTCCTGAGGAATACAAAAGGAATAATGATTAAAAAATGTATTACAATAAACAAATTTTATTTCTTAAACATAGATTAAAAATGCTTAAATATGATTTTTATAAACAGACATTACAAATCACAAAAGAATAATTTTCTACTTTAATTACCAGCATCAAAATGTCTCTAAAGTTAACACAAAAAGTGTACTACAGAATATGTACTTACCACAGTTTACTTCATCAGAAAAGTCACCACAGTCATTATCATAATCACAATGCCACCGAGTAGGAATACATCGATTATTTTGACACTTGAAATATGAAGGATGACAAGTAGTTGTGTCATCACAAGAGTCTGGCTCATCTTCTTTATCATTACAGTCATAATCACCATCACATTTCCATGAAAGGGGGATACATCGCCCAGAATTGCAACGGAAATAATTTGATGGACATACTCTAGCAGCTAAAAAATGAATATAATTAAATACTAGATTTTTTTGTTCTTGTTCTGTTAATATGTCTTTTATGGCTTTGCTGATGATGTTTACAGGCATGAACAAAAATGAAATGGCATTTCTAAATAAAACCATCATAAATACCCCTTATTTATTAATTCTACATTACTCACACCTATTATATAATATATATATATATATTCCTAATTTTCCCTAATATACTCAATATCATGACTCTTGACAAATGGAAAAACCTACCTAAAATGCACACTTTTTCATAACTACATCAAGTTTCAAAATCAACTTTTTGAACAAGTCAGAGGATTGCCAATGGGCTTACATTCCAGCACACCTCGATCTGTAATATCTTTTTATTGTCAAAGAATTTAACTTCCAAAAAAATCTACAACACAAGAGTTAAATTACTACAAACACACCTACAGATTTATTGATGACCTTATTACAATTAATAATTTTGGTAAAATTGAAAACTCCGACATTTATCCGAATTGTCTTAAACTTAATAAAATAATAATTCACAAAATAGCATAGACTTTCTAGATCTTCAAATCATTAACTACAAAAAAATTTTACTTTTGACAAAACAAGAAACTTCAATTTCAATACTAACAAATTAATAAATTGGAACTCCAACATATCCAAAAAAGTAATTAACAATACTATAATTAATCAAATACAACGAATTAAAACTATATGCACAGATACAATAGATTTACAACGCGAAATTTTGATCCTTATCAAAATTCTCAAAAATAATCTAATTCCCTTTCAATTTATCAACCATTGCCTTAAAAGAGCAGGCGTTAAATACTCACTCTAAATCATTTAACTGATAGGGATATGATAATTTATTCCTAAACCTGAGAAGGCGGTATAAGTTGGATGACTGTCAGTTGAAAGATTTGTATATAGTGTAATTACTCAATTGTATATATTGTAAAAAAGCTAATTGTCTTCAGACATATACTGTTACTATACTGTTACTAAAAAAATGGGCTATTTCCTGCCTTTAGACTGTCTACTAGCTCTTGGATAGCGAAAATGCCTTTTTCCTTTCTTAAATTCTTAATCATTGCGACACGACAATTAGCCAGAAATTAATTAATTTCCATTCACTAGTATTTTTAAAAAAATCTTAACAGACGGTCTCTCTCAGATAAGAACTCCACAAAATACATCCCTCAAGAATTCCAAGTCCCACCCACTACCATAAATTTCTTCACCCAAGTCTTGCCGACTGATATAATTCAAAGCCCCTACTGCCGCTAAGAATTTTCGGACACCCTACACTTCTGAGTCAGACACGAAGAGAACACACTGCCAACTCCCCCACTAGAAAGAATGTAAGTTACTTAATACCTTTCTGGCCTTTATATCTTCATGTACATTCACTGATCTTATTTATATTATTTTCTATTTTATTTTTATATTATTTTATATTATTTTTATGTTCTCTTTGATTTGTTTTTGCAAAGTTTGCATTATTTATCTTTTTTATAATCTTCTATGTTTATTTCAACTTTACTTTGATTTCGATTTCATAATGACAATTTCCAATGTTTAATTTCTACAAATAATATAGTACTCAAATACATAAAGATGATAGTGTCGGGGACGATTACTCGAGTTTTACAAGATTTCTCTACAGTAATTGATTTTTACTCCAAATTGAATTGACTAAAATGCTTCATGAGAATCAGTTCTTTGAGTAACAACTATTCGCGGAAATATTTGGCCTGACTAGAATTGCCGTTTTGGCTTTAATTTATAACTCGAGTAAAGACGAAACACTTTCATATTTACGTATTTCTATCAATTATTGATCATTGAACGGGAGTTGGTTTGTTCCCCTTGAAAAGTCAACTAATTTCCGATCAATGACAATAATTACATGTTTTAATTTTTACTTTTACAATTGTAATATTATTCTTCGTGATGATTTAACTCCAGTCCCCGTTAAAACATTATTAACATTTTGCTTTCAAATTACTTCAAAAACATCTTTCAAAATATAACTTACCAGTATGGATGCACACTTTTAAAATAATTCTACTTTAATTAAACTTAGGAGATAATATAATCAATTAATCAATACGGTTTAGGAAATAAATTATATATATATATATATATATATATATATATATATATCTGTGAGTTTGCGTGTGTGTGCATGCACATATGTGTGTGTCACATATTGCTTATTGCTAGATAAAATGGCGAAACTTGCAGACAAACACAGATGTAGGTACCACATAATTTATTACTGAATATCTAATTCTTGAGACATATATTTTGTTTCACACATCATCATAGCTGCAGTATGAACTCCATAATTTGGAAGCTTAGCACATCTTCACAAAAGTTTAGATTTCAAAAGAAATCTTCAGTGATTGGATAAGAAGTGTCAGCTTTAGCGAAATACAATCTTATGCTGCTGATTAATTTTGAAATGACTCAGTTTAGACTGATATGTTATAAACAGTTAATATTTTTAGGAAGAAAGGGAAGTACCAAAATTAAAATGAAGAATAAAGGCGTTACAGCAAATTTAAAGTTAGTGATCTGCTTTCACATTTTATATTTTACCCCTCCCAACATATAGTATATATAAGAAAAATAAAGAATATAAAAAAGATTAACTTAACAGCGTAAATTAATTTCCCTTCTCTATTCTAAAAATAGCAACATCTATTTGCAATGTGTCATTTCGAGATTAGTCCATGTAATATGATTCTTACGTAATTCTGATGATGTAAATGAAACTAAAACTCAAACAGCCAATAATAATTTTCCAGCAATATTAACTATCCAATCAAAATGCTATGAGAACCAAAGCTAACTCAGTTTGACTTGAGATTTCATCCTGAATATTATGCACTTTCTTTCTATGCTTTGCCTTAGCTGGACTGCAGTCTGTCTGCTTCTTCTTTTTTGCTGCAAATCTATCAAAAATGTAAGCCTTTTGGAACAGGCACATTTAATGTGACGTCTTGTGTTAGCCGTAACATGTTGCTGAAAATAAAACTGAAGATTTAATCTGCATTCGCCTCCAATTTTTTGGTCATTATGGATCAACACTTCTAATGCCATCAAAATTCCGCTTCTGGTCATTGCTTCCGAGTTTGAATATATTACACACACACACACACACACACATATATATATATACAGTGTGGGACAAATTAGAGTAGCCAGGAGAACAGAGTTCCAGATTACAAAGAAGCACACCAAAGGAAAGTAAATAAAAGTCGCCTGGACGAGTGGATACGATTGGATGTGAATGTATGCATGTAACCACACCACATTATTCAAACCGGTTCAGAGCTTGGTGCAATCTCTATCAACGTGAGCTGAGCAGTTCAAAGGTGAAGATGGTACTCACAGTGAAGCAGAGGGTGCTTGTTGTAAAATTTGACATTACAAGTCATGGAAACAGTGTGGTCAGTTGTTTGTTCATAAGGTTAATGGTGTCAAAGTGAGAGCAAAGAGTGCCATGTAACGATTAGACAGAAGATGGCATCAGACAGGATCTGTTTTTAACAAGTCAAAAAACATTCTCAAACATGTCCAAACACCAGAAAAAGGTGGCTGCAATTCAGCAGAAAATGCTTTAGAGTTCTATGAAATCAACCCGATACCTGTCCCAAGAGATCGACATATCACGTCGATCATGCAGACATATGCTCCACCAGGACCTAAAAATGCATTCCCACAGAGTGTCTGTTATTCATGCATTAAAACTAGCAGATACTCCTAAGTGCTTCCAGTTTAGTGAGAGGCTGTTCACTGAGATAACAATTCATGGGTTGAACATGGATCTTTTCTTTTCTGAAGCCTGGTTTCACTTGAGTGGTTATGTCAACTCACAGAATGACAGTTTCTGGGCAGCGGAAAATCAGCATACTTTCCACCAAATACTATTGCATGATCAAAAGGCTGGAGTTTGGTGTGCAGTATCTGCATGCTGCATAATTGGTCCCATTTTCTTTCATCAAATGCTGAATTTGGAGCACTATACTTGCCATATTTTTAATCCATGTGTAGCAGCATTACCTGAACAGGAAAAGACCTACAGTTACATCCAACAGGATGGAACAACTGCCCATACAGCCGGTTCACACCCTGAATCACATTTACACAATCTTCATGCATGACAGAGTTGCTAGCAGAGGTCAGTCTGGTCTCAGTCCTAGATGGCCATGCAGGTCACCTGATCTGTCAGTGTGCGATTACTTTTTGTGGGGAACCCTTAAGTCTAAGGTGTATCGCAACAGCCCTAAGTAATCAGTCTTCAAGAACTGCAACAGACCATTTTGGATGAGATTGCAGCAATTCATGCAGCTTAGCTTCGATCTGCCTTCAGCAACTTGCTTATCATGGCCCAAAAGTACCAAGAGATGAATGGTGGTCAATTTCAACATCTGCTACAGTCAGGTTAGTACTGTACATTCTTTTCTTTCCTGTGTTTTTTTTATAATCTGGAACTCTGTTCTCCGAGCCACTTTTATCTGTCCCATCCTGTATATATATATATCTGTGCGTAATGAAAAAGATGCAGCAATATTGATAATGTAGAACATAAACAGCTGAATCCATAATGAACAGCAAACTTAGCAGGAAAGGAAGATTAAATAATCATTTTTATTTTAATTAACATTTGTGACCACAAAGTCACTTGGCACTCTAATCTTGCTTATTTCAAGAATATTTTTGAAAATATTGTGATAGGAAGAAAACAGCATGGTGGCCTCCTAGGAGCAACAAAGGTAGAAGCAAAAGTGTCCAATTACAGTCAAAAGTCTTTAATTCGGACACCCATAATCCGGACCTCAAAGCTAGAAACTTTCTGCGCATGCGCCACGTTGGCACATGCGCACAGGCGTTTTACGCGTGCGCGTAAGACCTTGACTACTGCGCATATGCGTGCGCAAGTGCAGAATACGTTTCCGCCTGCGCGTTTAATGTATAACAGACGGTGTAAGCTAAA